TCATCCTCAAAATTTCTATGCGTATTCTTATACAATCATTTTTTTTTTTGGATTCTAAATGTTTTGCATTTTATTCACAGACATTAGATAACTTTGAGTTCATCAGAGTACTTGGAAGAGGAACATTTGGAAAAGTTATGCTTTGTCGTCAGAAGGTATAAACTATATTAAAAAAAAAAAAAAAAGTTTTTCTAGTTTCCATAATTTTCAAATTGGGGATATGTAAACATGTATATTAGTTTGGGTTAATTATTGTAAATTTCCTACGAGGGATAATGAATATTAGGTTCTTTAATAAATATATGTGACTACAGAAAAACGACCGTATCTACGCCATGAAGGTCCTGCGGAAAGATGTCATTATAGAGCGACGAGAGTTGGCACACACGTACGCTGAGAACTGTGTGTTAAAGGCTGTGGATCATCCCTTCCTCACTGCAAGTACATTTTTCACTGTTTTACAGCCATCAGAGAGTCAAGCCTCAGGCTAAGATAAGCGTTATCTCCAGAAAATTTTCCTGTTTATTTCCTGATAAGGAATCCAAAAGAAACCTTTAAACAGAATTTTCTCATTTTTTCCCGTTTTCTAGATTTTTTGTTAATTTTTCAATTTCCACAAAACTGATTTTTTTTGTCATAGTTGATCTGTTTATTTAAAATTTACTTAGTTTTCATTGAATTTATACATAACAGTTAATTATGTGATTTGATATTTTCAGTGCCTCAAGTACTCGTTCCAAACAAACGATTATCTCTGCTTTGTAATGGAGTATGTTAATGGTGGTGAACTGTTCTTCCATCTTACTGAGGAGAGATCATTTACTGAAGAACGTACCAGGTTTTATGGAGCTGAAATCTGTCTTGCCCTTGGATATTTACACGAAAGAAATATTATTTACCGTGATCTAAAGGTAAGGCTTTGTAACCCACTTGTGTGTGTGTTAAGTTATTATAATTTGTATTTTATGTGATGGCAGTGAAAGGGCTGTTGATGTAATATATCTTGAGTTACCCTTAACTTCCTGGGATCCAAGCTGATTGATTTCTATTCCTGCATGAATTTAACACTTTACACTCGACATGGTTGTCTCATTATTCAAGAATAATTACTGTACTGTAAATTCTGTTTGGCGTTCCAAGTAACAAGTTATTGGTAGAAAGTTCTGTATAGTTGGCATCACAATGTGCAAAATTCAGGGCATGTTTAGGGTGACCCAGTGTTACATTACCATTTTTTGTACTGGTTATCCTGAGCTAGATTTGTGCTGATGATCCTAAGCCTAGATTTTGTGACAAATCTCGCTGTTGCATCAGTTATTCTTCCTGTGATAGTCATCGGATGTGCAGATCATCACTTTGTTTCATGGTGTTGCAGCGCCGCAGATTAATGGAAAATGTAAATTAATGTAGAATACAAATTTTAGTGTGAAAAACATCTAAGGTCATGAGGTTCCTCATAAATTTGTGAAGTTGGATTGTTGAATATCCATTCAATATGAAATAAAAATCATGCAATGTTGCTGAAGTTCTGAACGAATTTTCTCCTTATATTTTGTCTAATAGAAACATGGCTGTTGAAATCTGATATAACAAGTAGTTTCGGCTGAGCCGCAGAAGTCAGCTGCTGCTTGTGAGTGCAGGAGTTGGTAATTTATTCGTTTGTTGACACTGCTGGTCGGCCAGTTACGTCAACTGAAGTAATAGAAGATTTAGCAAATTATCATCGGTGGATTGTGAGGCTGATTGATGATTTATCATCCAGGTACCAGTGCCACAGGTTCCTTGTTCCTTGGTGAATTTGGTTTTCTTATTAAATCCTATGTAAAAAAAAAAAAAAAAAAAAAAAAGAAAAAAAAAAAAACTTTTGGTTATGTAGATATGTAGATTTTCCAATGCTCTTGCCCGCAAATGAAAGTGCTACAACAACATATACTGTTTTGATTAATCATTGTACAAGAATGGTATACAATACAGTCCCTCAGTCTGGGAGTTAGTGATCAGAGCACCATAGTCGTGTAGATTCTGGAGCAGAGGCAAGGAGACTGGCGCTCATATATCTAACGCCAGGTACAACTTATCAGACACCGCAATATCATGGAATCTTGGTTCAAGACATCTACACGACCTTCACGGCTACTGCAACTACTACTACATACTTGCCCATCCTTTTGGATATGACCTATTTCCACTTGGGAATCCGCCTGCTAGTGACTATGCCACGTCTGTTACCCGTCCCAATCCACCAGGCGTAAGTAATAAGCCCAGCCTCTTGCCTCGTCTAGAACTTCCGACTATGGTGCTCTTCAACCATCCCCAAGGGTGAGGGACTGTTTTCCCTCTTTGTAAATTTATGCTTCAAATTATGCCCTGGAATCTATATTGAAAAAAGCCAGGGGATGGCGAAACGTCAACAAAAAAGATCCCAGTGTTGCACATGTGTCTCATTTTTTGATTAATCATTTTTTTCAAAGTGATGAGGGTTTTTGCCCATCAAAAAAAGGTTTTGTTTCCCAACTCCTCCGAAACCTTCACTTCATTCGAAATCTTTTCAAATTCGTTGTTTCTAAATTTGAATTTCTAAATTTAAATATCCATTTAAAAATCTTGTTTCCTTTTCTGGAGTGGAGGTATTCAAACATTTCTTTCAAAGATACATCACTGTAAAAAATTTAAATAGGTTGAATGCTTGTTTTGGGGAAATGTTTCAAATTTTTGTTGGACCCTGAAAATAAAATTACTGATTTTTTGGGTGGTGCATTAGGGTAATGAAGTCGTTCTGAATTTTTCCATTCCGGTGGTCAATAAAATACATAGTATTTCAAAGTTCTTATATAGCTGTCTGTTTTGCTTGTTCTTGATTGGTATTGTTTATCTGGTGTTTGGGTTTAAACCCTTACTGTTGAACGTCAGTGGGGGATTATATTTTTATGTTGATAAAAAAAAAATCGCATCAAATTTTCTGAATGGGAGATTCAAAAACCCCCGGTTTTGCTGCTATTCGGATTTTGGATGACATTGAATTTTAAAAGCGAGTTGGTGAAAAAATTTTGATTGACCGGGAACCCCGGGGGGTGAGATTTATGATTTTGATGTCAGTGGAATTGTGTTACCTAGAATATTAGTTATTTGTTGGCACGTCAGAAAATTGTTAAAATTTTTAATTTTCATATTTTAAAATCTCTGCAGTCAAAAAAAAAGTCTGATAAGCAAAGTATTTGGTCCTTATTCACTCGTTTTTTTTTTTATCTCTAATTGATTTTTTTTGGTTTTTGGGGGGGGTTTCCTAACTACTTGTTATAAACTTTTGTCGTATGACTTTACTGCAAAAACTTGTATCTTTACTCCCAATTTGGGGTTCCCCTTTGTCCTACTTTCCCTCAGCATCAAAGACTCCCAACTAAAAGAATTAAAAATTGTTTTTAATATTTAAACATTAAATTAAAGAAACCCCCATATCTTGTTATCCATTTTTTACATAAGCTCCGAAATGTTTTGGGAATGGCTGTGAACCTTTTAAGTGTGATGGGGGGAAATTTCTTGCAGAAGAGCCTTTTCTTACGTGGCTCCTAGATTGTTCAACAGGTTGAAAATATGTTGAGGCCAAAAATATTCATGTTTTTTAAATCTCGGTTAAAGCACATCTCTTTCCTAAAGCTATCATACTATCATTCATTGCTATAAATTTTATCATAACTTCATCGTAACTGTTGTATCGGTAGTCTGGTGTGAGAGCCTTGTGAATTTCTCGAGGGAGCCGCTGCTGAAGAATAATAGAATTGCGAGCTGTTTTATCAACACGCCGGCCTTGTCCACCGAGGCTATCTAAAAAAAAGTTTTAATTTTTAATTTTTAAAAATTTATTCAGAAGTGGGTTACTAGCCAAGCTCCCGTGATTTTAGGCGCCTCTTATAAACACGCATGGCTTACGGAGGAAGAATTTTTTTCCACTTTCCATGGAGGTAAGAGGAAAAAAGAAAAACAAGAACTATTAAGAAAATAGAAAACACAGATGGGTGTGTATGTATATATTTGTGTGTACATGCATGTGTGGCGTGACCTAACAGTAAGTAGAAGTAGCAAGATGTACCTGATATCTTGCATATTTGAGGCAAAAAAAAAAAGACACCAGCAAACCCTACCATCATGAACAATTACACGTTTCTGTAATTGTTTTTCATTCAAGTTCATTCAAGTTACTTGTTTTCGTTATTCGTTTTTTTATATATATATATATATATAGGGGCGATATTTTCTAAAAAGATATTGAAATGAAAGGTCATTTCTTTGCATTTAGGCAAAAGTTCATCCGATTAAGGTACAGGAATATTAAGTTTTAAAAAAGTTATAACCCCTAGTAGGCACTGTACTACCCACCTCCATGATTCAGCATGGAAAGTAACACTTCGATGCGGTAAAATACATTTCTTAAAGTATAGTTGCCATGAGCGGCTTCATCAGACAAATAGTGAAATGAGGTAGCATGGGCCAGTATCTCTGCTGCATAGCAACTCCATGTAAGTTGTTCATTCACGTCATGGTGGATCCTAGCAGGTAATAATGTTTTAGCTAAAGCATTTAACACTGAATTTCCCAGACCTCTGCTGAATTGTAGGTTGTGGCAATTAAAGCAACTTCCAGCAACTTCTGCCTCTCGTTTTTGTACTCGCCTATTTGTACTCCCTATTTGTTGGTTGCAGGGGTCGAGTCTTAGCTCCTGGCCCCCGCCTCTTCACCGGTTGTTACTGGGTCCTCTCTCTCCCTGCTCCATGAGCTTTATCAAACCTCGTCTTAAAATTATGTATGGTTCCCGCCTCCATTACATCACTTTCTAGGCTATTCCACTGCCTGACAACTCTGAAGAAATACTTCCTAACATCCCTTTGACTCATCTGAGTCTTCAACTTCCAATTGTGACCTCTTGTTTGTGTCCCCTCCCCGGAACATCCTGTCTTTGTCCACCTTGTCTATTCTGCGCAGTATTTTATATGTCGTTTTCATGTCTCCCCTGACCTTCCTGTCCTCCAGTGTCGTCAGGCCGATTTCCCTTAACCTTTCTTCATAGGACATTCCACTTAACTCTGGAACTAACCTTGTCCCAAACCTTTGCACTTTCTCTAATTTCTTGACGTGCTTGAGCAAGTGAGGGTTCCAAACAGGTGCTGCATCTACAGTATGGGCCTGACGTACATGGTGTACAGTGTCTTGAACGATTCCTTACTAAGGTATCGGAACGCTGTTCTCAGGTTTGCCAGGCGCCCATATGCTGCAGCAGTTATCTGGTTGATGTGTGCTTCCGGAGACGTGTTCAGTGTTATACTCACCCCAAGATCTTTCTCCTTGAGCGAGGTTTGCAGTCTTTGGCCATCTAGCCTATACTCTGTCTGTGGTCTTCTGTGCCCTTCCCCTATCTTCATGACTTTGCATTTGGCGGGGTTAAATTCGAGAAGCCAGTTGCTGGACCAGGTGTCCAGTCTGTCCAGGTCTCTTTGAAGTCCTGCCTGGTCCTCATCAGATTTAATTCTCCTCATTAACTTCACATCGTCTGCGAACAGGGACACTTCTGAGTCTAACCCTTTTTTGTGGATGACTAATCGTGCTCCTTAAGCTTCATTAAGTGTCCACATATATTCTCATGAGCAAATACATTGTTGTAGGTATTTGTGCTCAGGAACTAACACCTAATGATTTTGCATTTTCTCCCACACACTTTCTATCTCGTTATCCACACTGTATAATGCATACTTCTGCGCATTTCGTAGGTTCTCCTGTGTTTCTACTCCAAGTTATTGATTGAAGATGAAGAGCTGGTGGCTATTTTGGCAAAACATTGTAACTAATGACTTCCTCTGTTGTCTTGTTGATTGTTCTGCAAAATATATTCCTGAAATTTTGTATAGTGTAGGTGGAACTGTAGTGATCTAAAATCACTGAAGATGTACTTGTACACACACTCCTCCTAAGAGCTGCGGACTGACTACTAGAAAGATGCCTATTACTTCCCCCTCTCTGTCTGGACGTAAGGTGGCTGTAAAAATGCATAGTAGTATATCTAGAAAAAAAAATTGGTTGTCTTCTTTTAGTGAGATTTAATAGTTGGTTCTAGACTGTTGTTGTGCACACTGAGATCTTTTAACTGGGGATTCTAGCCAAGTTGTGGTTGGATTCCATGACCTCCATGTACAAGCTTGCGAGAACTACGCTGAGGGGAGAGCTCTTAGCTAACCCGAATAACTGTATTTATTCCCTTTTGAGATGAATAAAAAGCTTGATTAGGTCTACAGATCTCTGGTAGGAACTGGCCAGGCTGTATCTCCACTCATCATTCTGAGTAACAGGTTGACGACTTGGTCCACTAGCACACTGGTGAATAGGGAAAGTTTACGTTGGAGCTTGCGAGCTTTTTATCACTATCGTCAAGCTCCTTAATTGGAAGGCTTCAGGTGTGCTGAAACTAGTTAACCCTAGAATGTTTGATGTATGGTTCACGAGAACACTTGCTAGTTTGAGTTGGGCGATGCTAGTATCTTTTGTAATGGGTCTGACGGGATTGCTAGATTTTTTTTTCTCGCCTTCTGAGGTTCCAGGACTGAAGTTTTGCTATTTGGATTTCCCTCAGTCACTTTATAATGTCACTTAGCTCACACTTCAATAGCATGTCAAGCCATAAATTCCACTAATCTCTACTTACTCGGATCTAACTTATAGCGGGTTGGGAGACAGTAACTGTCTCCAGTCATCTCCAGTGATGTACTGCCATCCTGCCACAAATGTGAAACAAATTTGTTATTGTTTTACATTCTGGCAGAGAATCTCACTTTCAAAATCACAAAAATGTATTGACTACATTTGCTAGAAAAATGATAGGATGGATAATGAAAACTTCGAGACGAGGGACGCCAAGCCCATGATTCTCTTCAAATCGTTTGTTTTCTCTAGGCTAGAATATTGCTGTACACTAATGGTTCCTTTCAAGGGAAGGCGAAATTGCTGACCTGGAGAATGTACAGATAACTTTCATGGCACACGTAAGTGCGATAAGTGAATAGTTGAAGTTCCTTGACTTGAATTTCCTGGAACACAGGTGAGAAAGATACATGATAATGTACACTGGAAAATCCTAGAGGGATTAGTACCAAATTTTGCAAAAGAAAATCACTCTACCAAAGCAAAAGACTCGGCAGGAGATGCAACATCTCCCCAATGAAAAGCAGGGGCACCACGTGTACACTAAGAGATAAAATAAGCGTCAGGGGCCAAGACTGTTTCAACTGCCTCCCAGCATACATAAGGAGGATTACCAATACACCCTTAGCTATCTTCAAGAAGGCACTGGACAGGAACCTGATCAACCGGGCTGTAGTTTGTACGTCGGTTTGCGTGCGACCAGCAGTAAGAGAATAGTTGATCAGGCCCTGATCCACCACTAGGCCTGGTCACAGACAGGGCCGCGGGGGCATTGACCCCCAAAACCCTCTCCAGGCACACTCCAGGTATTGCTGGTCTCTTCTTTTTGTCTCGTAAACACAAGATGACAGGTCAATCTTGCTGCTACTCTAACATCCAGTATGCACTACACATGTGCATATTTTTGGAACTCTCTCCTTAATATTTCTTTCCCGTGTAATTCTTTTACACTTTCATAGGAAGGGGATGGCAGTCCTACACCTCCGAAGTAATGCAAGTCATAGAAAGTAACTAAAGTGATGGGAGTAATGCAAGATTTGTAGTTTGATTTTTATTTAGTAAATTTTATCTCATGTTCAGAATATGCACTGATACATTTATTTGGTTGCAGTTGGAAAACATACTACTTGATGCTGAAGGTCACATAAAAATAACAGACTTTGGGCTCTGCAAAGAAAACATCTGTTATGGAAGAACCACCCACACCTTCTGTGGAACACCGGAATATTTAGCACCAGAGGTAAGCCTAACCACCACTTAAAAATTAGAAGTAATGTGAGCAGATCTTTGTAGTTTCTTCTTTTATTTAAAATTTTCTATACCTTGGATGAATATCACAGGTGCAGCAACTCATTATCTTTATTGTAGACAATAAAGATACCTAGATACTTATTGTAGACAATAAAGTTACCTAGTGCTACCCATGCTAATTGAAATGCCAAGGTTCACACTACGTAATGCCACCGATGCTATCTGTAATGTCATTCTTCACAACAGTATCATCCATACAGTACTAGTGAGGCTGTATCTTCAGAAGTCTTATAAACTGCTTGTGTCCCCTGAGTCTAGCAGTTTTCTTGCTCTAGAAGTTGTCTAGTGTGAAGATGTGCCTTCAAAATGCTACAAGATGTGTCTGAGAGTGTATGGGAAACAGTAGGTTAGGTTGAACCCCACTAAACCTGACTGGGCCAGGTTTTCACTAGAGGCTTGCTTATTTCTTAGTGTTCAGATTCAGACTGTCAACAACTTCACTGATTAAAATTAATTGTAGGAGTTCGTAATTATTGAAAAGTATCCTGTTGATGTCTTTGTTAAAACAATGTTTTACTAGGTGCGTAAGAAGCATTAGTTGGAAGACAATATCATCATAATAACCAGTAGTATCTGAGATGAGGGTCATAAAACAAGAGCTGCCATCAATGTTTATGTCAGAGGTAAACAACAGTCAGTCTTGTGAATAAACCTTCCTTTCTCGATCCGAAGACGGTATTCCGGTATTCATAACGCCAGTCCTCAGCTCCTCAATGGACGCAACTGGAAGAGTGCAGTGTGTGGCACAAGTTGATAATTCACTTAAAAATTAGCGTTAAAGATCTTAGGGGAATCAGAAAAGTCATTCACAAATCATCATATTAAAATCAGTATCCAAGTTTCATTATCATGTAACCATCATGGGAGACTTGGAGTTAATCATTTAATGCAGAATTTAATTAGTTCTGATTTCTTCTTGACCCCTTGAGGAAGGTTCGTTGACGTTGGTGAGGGGCTCTTGATCTAAGGAATTGGATCTGTGCTCCAGTTCCCTGAATTAAGCCTGAATACCTTCACATTCCCCCACACACGTTGCATAATCCTGTTGGTTTAGCGCTCCCCCTTCGTAATAATAATCTATTTTCTTCAAAAAAAAAAAGGGGGGGGGGGGGGGGGAATATGATCTACTCAGGCCAAAATAAATAAATAACTTTTCTGTAAGACTGACCAACATATAAGACGTGAGCAAACAAGTTTGTTTTATGTAATTCTTCTTTCTTTCAACACACCGGCCGTATCCCACCGAGGCGGGGTGGCCCAAAAGGAAAACTAAAGTTTCTCATTGTACATTTAGTAATATATACAGGAGAAGGGGTTACTAGCCCCATACTCCTGGCATTTTTAGTCGCCTCTTACAAACACGCATGGCTTACGGAGGAAGAATTCTGTTCCACTTTCCCATGGAGATAACAGGAAATAAACAAGAACAAGAACTAGAAAGAAAATGCCAGAAAACCCAGAGGGGTGTGTATATATATGCTTGTACATGTATGTGTAGTGTGACCTAAGTGTAAGTAGAAGTAGCAAGACGTACCTGTAATCTTGCATATTTATGAGACAGACAAAAGACACCAGCAATCCTACCATCATGTAAAACAATTACAGGCTTTCGTTTTAACATCACTTGGCTAGGACGGTAGTACCTCCTGGGTGGTTGCTGTCTACCAACCTACTACCACAGGACGGTAGTACCTCCCTGGGTGGTTGCTGTCTACCAACCTACTACCACAGGACGGTAGTACCTCCCTGGGTGGTTGTCTACCAACCTACTACCACAGGACGGTAGTACCTCCCTGGGTGGTTGCTGTCTACCAACCTACTACCACAGGACGGTAGTACCTCCCTGGGTGGTTGCTGTCTACCAACCTACTACCACAGGACGGTAGTACCTCCCTGGGTGGTTGCTGTCTACCAACCTACTACCACAGGACGGTAGTACCTCCCTGGGTGGTTGCTGTCTACCAACCTACTACCACAGGACGGTAGTACCTCCCTGGGTGGTTGCTGTCTACCAACCTACTACCTTATTAATGTAATTCTTATGTACATAATTTATAAATGTTAAACTATGGTGTTGAGGTCACATAAATGTTAAGGGAACATAAAGTATATTATACTGATTAAACCTACATAACTAAATAGTCAAACATTATTACTTATTTCTGACCAGAAAAAATATTCTCAAATTATTTCACAGAAACTAGTTTGATTAATAAAAGTAACAACTTATAACTAACAGAACAACACTAGTTATTAACACAGAACAGAAGATTAATTTTCCAGTTATTTCACAAAATCCAACAAAATTTGTGCCTACACAGCCTTAGGCCGTGAAACGTAACGTCCAGTTTATAAGATACATCAACCAGTGAAGAAAGCTCAATACCTGAAGGGGTTATATAGCACCTATAAAATGGAACATATTCAGGGAAAGGAAGATAAGTCCATTGTCTTGGATCAAGAGCCCCTCACCAACATCAATGCAAAATAATAATGGGATAATGTAAAATAATGCTTTACCATTTCGAGATTAACAGTAACAAAATGACATCCACATACTCTCTTAAATATATCATCCTTCTAAGTACCATAAAGGAGTCCGCAAAATTTGAAGCCGATCAGAGGAGCCTTTCTCAGCCCCCATATATGCAAACAGTCACACGTATCTTGCCCAAGATACATTACACCAATGTTCAAATATGAAGCCAATCAAATAAGGCATTTTCTAGTAATGAACTGAAATTTGTGAGAAATTAAAAAAAAATGTTGCTAAGAATCCTCCAAAAAATTGGAGTCTTTCCTAGCTGAACTTGCATGTAGTACATTATATACATTTTTTTAAAATATTGTAAGAAAGAAAATGCTTAATTTCGATTCCTCTTTAATGGGGGCTCCTCCTTGTGGTATAGAGGCTTTCGGTCTGAGGAATTGGATCTTTCGGTCTTCTTCCTTCGACCAAATCTAATTAGACCCCTTCCCCCCAGTCTTCCCCTTCCTGCTTTTGGCCTTTGTGATCCTCCCCTCAGGTATTCTAACTCCTAAGTTTGGGAAAGGGTATCGATGTCCATCCCATTCTGTTGAGGTCCTGGTGATGGTGTAGTTTGCCGTGAAAATCTGGATCGTCTGGGGATGCCTCAATCCCTCTCCGGTATCCCAAGAGTCGGGTTATGTCTTTCGGGTGACGGGAGGTGGTGGCAGAAGGTGGTATGCCTTGTGGCGAGTTTCTAACAGCCCTTTCTTTTGTCCATCGAGGTGCCTTTGTGGATATGAGGTTGCTATCCTGGATTGCCGGTTAACTGGCATGATAGGTAGGCTATGGTACAGGTTCCATGCTGCATGAAAGGTACGATATGGCACATATGAGGGGAACATATGACCCTTCCACGCCCCCCCCCCGTTTTTTTTCTTTTTGGTCCTTTTCTGTATCACTCTTTAGAGACCCTGGCACGCCTTCGGACCTCTTTTCCAACCCGGTAGCTTGCTTCGGGTAGCCTTCCATTACCCACCTCTGGTACCGCGGTTTCTACCGACCCTCTGGACACCTCTGACCTTCGTGCACCCCACATACACTGCGTATATTTTTGAATTGCACACATTACTCAGGACGGCCAGCCTCTAACCTTTTATCTATACGACCTCGAGCTGTCACCGATTACCATACTTCAGCTCCGTTTCATGCTTAAAAAAAAAAAAAAAAAAAAAAAAAAAAAAAAGTCTGAATAATTCCTTCCCTTATACTCTGTTTCAAAGTCCTTGGACGAAATTCTTTACGTTTCAGCCATCTTCTCCTACTAACTATCATTCTGACCAAGAGCATCAGTAAGGTTCTCCTTCACCATGTTGGGAAGAACATTTCCTAACATGTTCTTAAGAGTGGCACACGTATTGTAACAGATAAAACTGCAGATCAAGCCCATAATCTTTCAGTTCTTGATGGTGACAACACGCCAGTAATAATTCGCAAACATATCTTCCTTAATTCTTGCTGTGGATCTTACGTCTTTCCACATACGATTGCACAACGCGTTTTTTTCGCGTGTAATGATGACATTCTAGAGCAAACTCGAACTCCAGAATCTCCCGATCATTAAAATTGACTCATACTCCGTCCGTGGGCAGAGGCGCTATCCATGCAATATAGTGAGACTAACTTTTGACAGTCTTGAACTGCCACCATTTGTATACATAACGGGACAATACCTACAAGTGCCGGAGGTGATCCTTACCAAGCAATAATCTAGAAATTTGGGCGGGCACTTCGCCACCCAGCAAAATTTGCAAGTCAGTGCAAATTCCGGTCTTGGGCACTGCCCAAACCCAAATCCCTCTTGCAGCCCCCTTCCCCCTTTTGCTTTAACTCCCAAAAAAAGGCCCCTTGTCAATTCTCGACAATACCCGTTTTTTTCTGGGGAAAAAAGGAGTCCGTTTCTTAAAAGAAAAAGAGGGTTCTCTGATACCATGGGAGTCTCTCATCTCGGGCCTCCATGGAACTCCCACAGCCATATTCTGGGTCGCTAGAGACCCAAGACCTCGTTCCTGCTGCACAATTACTTCTGGTCCCTTTCCCCGTCACCTCTGTATCCAACCCCTTTACTTCCTGGCCCCTGAGGTTCTAACCTAAACTCTTCTGTCTCTATCTTTTACCTTCCCCGTCACATGTTTGAACCTTACACGCTCCTGCCCGTCTAAATCGATTCCCTAAAACATTCCCCTCTATGGTCTTTCCTCATTTTAGTCCAAAAAAACCCTCCCCCCAAACCCCATGACTCCCCCAAAAGTTTTTCACCCCTATCAAGTCTCGACCTTTTCCTTGGGATCTCAATAGTTTTGGAAGTTTTTCCCCCTCACCGTCTTCCGAGTTTGTTCTTGTCAAAGGGACCCTTTCCCCTTTTTTGGTTCTTCTATTCTCTCCCTTTTTACCCAAATACT